GGAGAAAATGCATTCCAGCGATCACACAGCAGGCCTGTGAATGTCAGCTTCCAGTTCAAGCTAAAGACCCTAAGAAATACGTGGAAGCCCTAGAAGGCATCATTGATAAACTTGAAAGACAGAAGCCGATTCGAGAGCACGAGATTTTGCACGTAATTGGGCTGTTGGTGGCGCGTACGCTGTGTGGACCTAAGGATGGCTTGTCGAAGCATTGGGCTATCAGTGAAGAGGGTGCCGTTCCTCGAAGGACCTTTGGAAGGTATATGAAGCGCGAGAGATTCAAAACAATAACTCGTTTCCTCCTTTTTACAAGCACCACCAGCGGAGGCACGACCACTGAGGAGGGCGTTCCAGATTCGCCCCATTTTGTAGGTGATCGAGAAACGTTTCGTCGCGGATATCGTCTCGGCTCACGTGTAAGCTTCGACGAGCTAGCAATCCCAAATCGAAGTCAATACATTCCTGTACGGACTTACAACAAGAAGAAGTCCCACAAGTATGGGACCAAGTGCAGCATGACCTGCTGTGCCGTCAGTGGGTACTGCGCAAAGTTTGTAATGTGTTCAGTTTCCGACATAATACGAAATCTTATATTTTATCATATTTTGTCTCAACTCCGTTGTGCTAACTACCAATGCTACCATTTTTTTATTCTGTATACTACAGAGTTAAGGTTTATCTTGGTGCTGAACCGGACAAGAAGAAGTGCGAAGGCGCATCCCACAGGGCAGTCATCCGCAATATCACCAAGGCATTATATGGGCTACCGAAGCAGCGGTTAGTTATAGCCGACAACTTCTACAGTTCACCTGCGCTGGCACTTTCACTTCTACCACTGGGGTACTACTACGTTGGGACGCAACGACGGGACCGACTGGGGTGGCCCACAGAGTTCATGTTAAAGCAGAAGAAGAGACCGCAGTCCATGCCTCGAGGAGCGTACAGGATTGACCAAGCCAGGCAATACCCAGAGCTTGTTGCTGCTGCATGGATGGATGGACTCGATCCCTGTTCACATGCTTCACAGTACATACAAAGGTGCCAAGGTAGGCCAAAAGGACGGGGCCCGTCACAAGTTCCATGCCCGCAGCTAGTTGCTAACTATTATTCTGACATGGGTGGAGTAGATACTCATGATCAGATCCGCCTGCAACGCTACTCTATCCAGAGATGTGTAGCATTCAAAAAGTACCATCGACAGCTATTTCTAGCTTTTGTCGACATGGCAGTGGTGAACGGCTGCATCCTGCACAAGTTAGCCGTGAAGCGGAAAGAAGATAGAGTCCCAACACATGCCGAGTACATGAGACGCCTTCATGTGGAGTTGCTAGTAGTGACTTCTGTAAGTTTCCGCTTTAATCGATACGGTGAAGACTTGGCCAACGCACCACTCCAAGCTTGGAAGCACGTGCTGTACAGCACCAAAGAGCTGTATGAGACAAAGACTGGGAGACACAAGGGAGATAAGAAAAACCGCCAGTTTCTCTGCGAGGTTTGCTCCGCGTTGAGTCCACGAAAGGTCATGCGTTTCGAGAGCCGCTTTTATTGTCGTAAGTGCAGCAGCAACATGGGAGGATAGGTGCCACTTTGTGACACTGTACGACGCACGGAAGCCGGAAGCACGCTGACGTGCAGTCAGGTGTGGCATGAAGCGTGGGGAAGTGGGGTAGCCATCCCTTCTCACCTACGAAAAAGGATTCGCTTCAGAAAGCGCAAGCGAGGGGAGGAACACGAACGATGGGAACGCTGACGACAATAGCTAATCATAGTGGTGGTGTTAGGTTAGCAGCCATCTAACTAAAAAAATAACACCTTCACTTTGCTACCATTCAGTCGTATCTTGCCTTGCTCACCAAACATTCGGCAGTTCTAGCCTACTTACTTCTCTGTAAGTCTAGAACTAGCCGAAAATTTGGTGAGCGCGCCACGTGGTGTCCGCCACCGGTCGCGAAAGCGATAAGCAACCTTGAACCACATTGACAAGGATTTAAAATATAGAGGATTTTTGATCGTGAGCTATCCAGTTGTGGCCAATGGAAAATATCCATGTGGTGGATACATTAGTGCGGCTTTGTGCAATTGTGCCGCGTCTTTGAGTCCGTGCACAGCGTCTAGCAGCGAAAGGGCTTACAACCGATAAAATATTGCAAACATCTAGTTATTCAAGATGTCGTCTTAATAATTTTATGTATTCTGCAGAATAATTCCCGGCCCTAATTGGGTTAAATGACATTTTTAAATGAAATTTTGAATAAATGTTTTGAAACTTGTTTTTTTAATCAGTAATTATAACGAAAAACATTTTTTTTAATGATGTACTTCTTGCACTAATGCAAGAAATGGGACCCAATCACGCAATTCTTCATGTTGAGCTCATTCCGCTGCACCATCAATGAACCCAGACTCAACATGCTAGATACATTATATTCATAACATCAATGAACGTACTTGTGCATTTCTTGGAGCTGCGTTGGCAATCGGTCTTGTGTGGCGCTGCTCTGGACGCTGGAGCTCTTGGGCTCAAGTTGGAGAATGACACTGCAAAGCTAATGGCTAAGGCGCACGTGGACTCCACCGTCCCAACCGCAACCTCGTAGAGTGTGGTCTCTGCTCGGATTTCAGCCGAAATGTAGTGCCATGACATGCTGCAAGGGAAAGTGAGGCGTCGTTGACAACGACTCGTTGTTGCTGCAACTACATCATGATCGCTACAGCTTAGTGCTTGAATCACTTCACCTATGCTTATGATTCGAACAAAAGCACTGACAAAGAGTGTTTATTAGCTTTGTTCTAAGTGCTACTGCTTCCTGTATGTGGGGACACTCCACTTTTATTTTGTGAGTGATAGCTGTCATGTGCATTGTCGAATTGTTTTGGTGGCGGTTCCAACTTATTTGGTGGAGTTACATCTACCTCAAGAAATGAAGCTCATCCTCTAGCACTTCGGCGATAAGTGCCAAGTAGCAGCAGTTTAGGAAGAACTCCACCAGGCAGAGATACAGCTGCGACCTGGTCTCGAAGCACTAAGGCGCGCGCTGACAGTCGCTCAGGTTTCGAGCAGCATATGCAAGAGCGCATCACTTTTTGCGCCCCCACTTTATCATGAGGTCGAGTGAACGAATTGAACCAGGAATTGGGTGCAATCGAGCTGAGTAATGCAGAGCTTTTAGCCCAATTTTGCCAACTAAATGTGGACTTGTGTCGAGACAGCGAAGAAACGCTGTCGAAGGGGATGATGGAGGAAAGAACGATGACACAACGCGACGCGGAAATGAAGAAATTGAAGAGACGGGAATGAGCCTTTACTATCGTGTAAGCTTCTGAAAGTAACCGATTGAGAGAATTTAGACCGTTGGCGGCTCATATCGATGGTAATAGCTCCCCTGGGTTTGCGTACTGGATATACGGAAGGTGAGAATGAGCCGAGTAGAGCGATGTCATTAATTAGCGGTGAAATGAGGCAACAGGATATGGTCACGTACGCTGATAACGCTTCGGATGAATAACTGGGTGCATTTTCCACAGCATTTAATGCTGTGAGCCGTTTAATGCATTGCCCCGACCAGCAAAGAAGCAGAAAGAGCCTGACCATTCTGGTGGAAAGACTCAATCTGGGCAAAACGAGAGTGTGAGAAGAAACAGAAACCCGAAGACGAGAGAAGCTCCAAAGCCAACGTCACCTCCAGTAGCTAAACGACCCGCTCGAGACGCTGGCTCTCGTCTTCAACAGCGTATAGAGCTACTTCCTCGTGGTGCTGTACGAGAGCCACAGGAAACAGCTCTGAATGCTACGGTCGCTCTAAAAGGCACAATTCCCTATCTCGCCAAGGTCATCTAGTGAACAAAATTCGTTACCGCAGTCGCTGAAGCTGCTCATGTATTCATGAATGTCGTAGCCTCTCATAAATCGAGGAAGGTCTTCGAAAACATGGAGTTCGTCGCAGTGAGTACCCTGGTCACGACGAAATGCAAGCAGTGTGGCACATGGTCAACACTCTATAGCAACTTATCGATGTTCCTTCTGTCAAGTCAAAGCGTCTTGAATGGTACGGTATGTTATTGGAATCGTATACTTCATAGGGATACCCCTATAACAGCTGCTCGATTTAATACAGGGGCTGCCACAAGCTACGGAAGTATCTCCTTGCAAATGCACGAGATACCCGCTGACATGGTGGACTCTTTCAGGACACAGCTTCTTAGTATTCTGCAACACTTCGAAGACGCAGCCATGGTTTTACCGGACGGAGCGATCAAAATGCTCTGCTGGAAGGTCAAATTGTGACGTGGGATCCGAGGAGCGGTCTAAATATTAGAAAATTACTCGCTAAGGCTCAGTAGTTTGGCTTGAAGCAGATAGGTGCGAAGTGGGATCAGCATTTTATTGTCATTTGTCGAGCCTGTAGTAAAATGAATAATTCGGGGTGGCGGATGTAACGTCAGAGCCGCCCCATAGCTATTTGTCGATCCTGGGGCGAGCTCAGACTCACTGATGTAGCCATTATAAATGACAGCTTTGCCCGTGAGAGCAGGCCCGTGACGCAACGAAGCTGAGAAAAAAATGAGTTTTTTGCGGAACTCGTGAAAAGAATCAAACATTTCTCTCATTTGAGATGCTTGCTCGGAATAACGAGTGCTTGGGTACGCTGGTGGATCGATGTGACCATGGTAAGACGCTCACTCTGGAAAGATGCCTTAATGTGGAGAAGTTGGTATGTATTGTACGTGAATTGACGTATAGGCGCGAGGACTACACCACGATCTCAAAGCGGTGAGTCGCATTTTTGTGTACTTATAAAATGATGCTACCATTCGTCGGGAAATGCAGTGTTCCCATCTTGCTCAGAAAGTCGTCCCAATTCTGTGTCCCCTCCAAGCCTGTCTCAAATACCCCGGAGTACATAGTTTTTTCTGGTATTTTTGGGGGTTATATAGTTTTTCTGGGTATGTGTTCGATAAGAAAAATAAAAAGTAAAAAATGGTGCAGCAGACCTTGACGACTAATCAGACGGCGCCACATATTGGGGAATATTTTTCACCATCGTGATGTTCTCGGCCTTGTTCAGCTTTTTATGCGTCTCCCACCTCTTCACGGCGCGTGTCCAATCGGATTCGTGTTTCTTCTTTTTCATCTCCATCTCTCCTTGTTTAAAGGGATCCACTGCTCTCTTGAATTCGTCGACTGTATGGATGCCGTACTCTGCACCAGTACTCGCTGTGGCAGGTCCAATGCCTTTTATGTCTTTGATCGAATGTGGCGGCACCTCATCAGAGACGACATTCTGTAGTTCAAAGTCCTTCATACCAGATTGAGGAACCATGAAGACAAGCGCAGCTCGCTTGGGATTGGTCTTGACTAGTTCCAACAAACCAAGTCTGTCAAGTACGTAAATGATTCCAAAAGCACGCACGGGATGGGTCTTGGAGACCGTCATTTGAAAGAAAAGTAAACGCCTGTTCGTAGTACTCATTGACGGTGTCGCAGTCGTGTTTACAAGTGTTTTTGGAAAGTAGAATCCGTCAATTAACTCCATCGTTTTCGACTTCGGCTGATGGTACGGTCCTTTGTTCAGTAGCAAAAAAGACATCGCGCTGTGCTCAAAGTCATCAACGGGATCGCTCTGCTCAATGTCAAAAGTCTCCCGTTTTTGTCGCGTATTGACGGTAGACACTCCTTGTGCCTTCAACTCCAATACCTTCAGCTTCAGTCCGTCGCGAAGCTTTGCATGCGCTTTGGCTTCAAACATCGATCCTCTAAGCGAAGCAGCGGGGGGTATGCCGTCAAGCAATCCCTTAACTTCATTCATTCTGCCCTCTATTACGCCCAGCAGACGCTCCGAAAGCTTTTTGCACACCATTTCGGACACAAGTTTCGTTTCTACTAACCTTCCATCACCAATGGGCTCGTAATGCAAGAAATCGTGGTTTGTGGTAGTGTTTATCCTATTCGTAAGCAGGTTTTCAAGATGTCCACGGTTAGTAATCTGCTCGATCGGTTTCGTCAAATCTCGAATAGTAAGCACAACCTCTTCTCGCTTAAGCAAGAAGCAATTGCGAGCCACTCCACCGAAATTCCAGAATCGTTCTTCCATCTCATCATCACTAAAGGGGTATTCCAGAACAGAAGCAGCTAGTTGCAGCTCTTCAAGTTTCCAGGGAGGCATGTAGTAAGTGCGACGTTCTTTTCTTACTCGTTTCAGCCATCTCTCGTTTGGGCTTGTAAACACCACCGTTTGGCGGAGTGTTGCTCCCTGTGGCGGTCCATCACACAGCCAAAGTAAATTCTTTCGATCTCGCTTCAAGGTTGCCTTATCACTGAGATCCATGCCCAGTACGTCCAAAATCGCAGTTCTTAGAATGCTCGCGTCCACCCAAGGAAAGTGCTCGGCTTCCTCACCAGGTTTAAACACAGCCAGCGATGTGACTTCTGCTTCCGGAGTATGCGCTGACGCAATAATAGTCCAGGTTGGGTTGGCCTTCTTGAACCGATCCAAGAAATAGGCGTAGAAGATCGACTTCCCAATTCCTGGAGGAAAGTGCCCATTTAGATGACTACCGGTCCATTGATGCTGGATATTAACGAACTACTCACCTGGGGTCCCGGTCACTGTCACACATTGTTTCTTATCATTTAGTAGCAGATCTTCCACCTTTTTATAGTAGACATCATAACACGCGCGAACAAAGTAGAACTCGCCGCCACTGTACTCCGTAGCAAGGGGCACATCGGGCACTTTGCATCTGATCTCCACGTCGGGCCTGTCTTTCTTGCCAGACACAGCGGGAGGCTTGTCCTCCGCTAGAGCGACCCCCTCAGTCGATTCATGGTCTGCGTTTCGTTCATCATCGTCGTTGTCAACCCAGTTATCCTCTTCTTGTTCGTCTTCTTCGTCTTCATCCCCCTTCAAGTGCGCTCGTGTCTCGCTAGAAAGCAAAAGAAGCAGGCAGCGCGAGTATAGTGCGCGTTATAGATCAAAGAAAAGAAAAGAAAAAAGAGCGTCAGGTAGTACAGAGGACAGAAGTATTTACTGATATAGACGCAGACATAGAGGGCGTCTTTGGTGCCCCCTTTTGCCCGATCGAATATCGACCGTCATCAATTCCGGGTGCCGGAAATGGAATTTTCGCAACAGTTGATCTAATACCCGGTGATATAGTTACGTGGTACTCAGGAAAGTTTTCCAGTGATGAGCCAGTTAACAAAACGTACGCGGTCGCCGTTCGTGGTGGCTACATCGATGGATTGTCTTCGATTGCAAACTTGGAGGTAAAAGCGAAAGTGAGTGCCAAAGTTAACGAGCACTTCCATAAAACGAGGCAGGCGATGGCATTGGATGGCGGAGCGAGCTGCGTGGCGTGTGATATTTAAATATTGTATACCCATAGTTAAATTAAATAATTTGTAGGGTTAGGACAGGTAACAACCCAATATCCACCCACCCGTGCAGCGCTTATATCCACCCCTGCATTCTATAAAACCTGGGTATTCCAGAACCCTGCCAGTTTCCCTGGCGCTGTCATTGTCTGTACTCATGTTGGTGTGAACAACACAACATCAATTGAATTTTTCGGCCCATTCGATTTGATTGAAATTGAAGCAATCAAATCGATTCAAGCTACGTAGATTCACATAATTTGTGGCTGGCAGAAGTTTGATAAAAAAGGGGAAAATGACACCAGGTGAGTGGATACACTAAAGTTGTGACAGAAAAATTGTAAAATGATCACAGACGAAGATGGTGAACACAGCTTTCGTGCCGACTCACTTACTGTCGCAACTTGGCATTCAGCAAATCCCTTGTTGGTCGGTGGGAGCCAATCCCTATTGGGAGACGATACCGGTAATCACGGAACCCCCAGTCTAGTGTATCCCAATACTGTTGTTTTCATCCCCGCAGGGTAGGCTCCTTGACGTTTAGCTCTCGCGAAGCGTCTGCTATAGTCCATTCTGGATGGGCTTTCCACTTTTTCAGCAGCTCTATCAACTCTCTCTCGGTCTCCTGGGTGCACATGCGCTTGGACATCGCGCCCTTAATTCGAGATTGGCCACCGGAACCAACCGTTCGAAACAAAACAGACTCAGATAATTCAGAATAGCTCTAGCGACTTAATCTGAATCGGGGAGAGAGTCAGATTAACTCGCGCGAGTTATTCTGACTCAGGAAGAAAGTCAGGTTAGCTCGCGCGAGTTATTCTGACTCAGGAAGAAAGTCAGGTTAACTCGCGCAAGTTATTCTGACTCAGGGAGAAAGTCAAGTTAACCCGTGCGAGTTATTTTGACTCAGGGGGGTATATTACGAACACAGCCACGTCGTGTAATAGACCTGTAGATCGCTCACTGCAAACCCATCCATTTCCTGCTCAAGTACGAGCTAGGCTACGTGATCCGGACCGGTAGCGGTGTATTCTTGTGGCTCACCAGACACTGGTATTGCATGAAATCATTTTATGCTGCAGAGGTCGCAGTACTGAGTATAGACACGCACTGAAAAGTCGTACTGTACAGACCTCCCATGAGATAAAGCGTAATCTTGAACAGCATGAAGAGCATGTGAAGCAGTATCAAAAGTCATTCCGACTTAAATAGTGTTTTACTCATCGCCGCTGTCCAATCCATCAGCGATGTCGTCGATGCCCTTCGTCATTTTTGCGTCCCTCAGTCGTAATAAGTGGTTTGGGACTTAAGAGTGTACGATTTGGGTCTATATACGCATGGCGAACATTAGTATACAACGGGTTTTTAAGTTTAAGTCCGGCCCACCTTGTTTCAGCCATTCAATCTTTTGGACACACATTGTGACGTTTGTTCCCTCAATTCCTCCTTTACTGACGTGGGTTTCACTTGGTACACCTACCGGCAATACCGACCCCACTTTGCTCACGTTTTGGCACACCTTTAGCTTTCTGTCACAACTTTAGTGTATCCACTCACATTTTGTCATTTTCCCGATATAAAAGCGCCTTTTAGACATAAAAGACGACGGCGTTGTAACGGGGTTACATGGTGTGGAACACACAGGGGTACGAAGTACCCGGAGAGTTAACAAACTCTCAGTACATAAGTTGGAGAGTTATCAAGGTCTCTCAGTACGTTGGCTGAAAGCCACACGGTATGCATCCCGCTCCTGAATCGGTTGACTATATCCTCTGCGAGGATGGAACACCCGTGTTCGCGAATTTGCCCCCGGCGCAGCAGGACGCGCTTACTAAGATTATGTCCTTGCTTGGCCCGGAGGGCGTGGCTCATATTGCATCGCAAGGTCCAGAGGCGGTCACTGCCAGGCTGGAATCGTTCTCCCGCTACGAGAACGCGCTTTTGGAGCATGCCAAGAGAAGATGAGCGCCGCAACGGCGGCGGCGTCGATGACGCGTGAAGAGTCTATGAGACTGAAACCGCTCAAGGTGAGCGTAAAAACCTTCGAGGGGAAGGATGGAGAGAATCTCCTTCTCTGGACCCGTGAGGTCGAGATGGCCATGGGATCGGCCCTGCTCCAGTCTGACCATCAGCGCGTGGCGCTGGCTATCTCCAGGCTTGGAGGTCGCGCTCGCGAATGGGCACTAACGTGCGGCACGTCTGTTGACGCTGCATTTCCCACTTGGGATCAGCTGAAGCAAACAGCTTTCGCGCGTGTTCGCGCCGCCTAATCAGGCGTACCGTGTCCAGTCGAAGTTCCTTGCTACCCGCCAGGGTAAGAAGGAGTTATTGGGCTATGTCCAAGAGTTGAGAACTCTTATCGCCGGAATGGCGGCAAACCCTCTTCCGGAACTGGTCAGCGTGACCGTGTTCATGGAGGGACTTCGTGTGAGCGCAGCTCGAACGGAAGTGCTCCGTGTACACCCTAACGCTTTCGAAGAGGCTGTGAATGTGGCATTAAATGCCGAGCACAACTTCAGGTCGGCTCGACCTGGTTGGAGCGCTAGTAGCGCAAGCTCTTCTAGCGGTCCAGAGCCGATGGACCTCAGCTATGCTGAAGATGAAGAAGCGGAGCTTCTTGCTGCGGAGCAGCGTGCCGGCATCCGCCGATGCTTTGTGTGCAATAGCACTAAGCACTTGAAAGCATATTGCCCTCTGCGCAAGAAGCGCGGGGCTCCGGCGAGCCAACCCTCCGGGTCATCGCCGGGAAGCGGCATTTCCCAGTAGGCGCGGGGCGGCCTACTGGGGAAGAACTGAGTTCTGTTGTACCTCGAGGAGGTAGAGGGCAACGGGGCTCAGCCCCGAAGAGAGCTGAGCTCTCTTACGAAAAGAGTGTGTGCAAGCCGGGCTTGCTGGTCGTTCAAGCGAACGTGAAGGGCTTTGCAAAGCCATGGAGAGTCTTGATTGACTCGGGAGCCTCGGGCAACTAAGCCCGTCGCTCCACCCTGGAAGGGAGTCAGCTGTATGCTGAGGCACTGGAAGTGCCAACGAGAGATACGATCTCTGTCCGTCTCGCGACGGGGACACTGGTAACTGTGTCGAAGGTCTCTGTCGACCATGGAGTGAAGTTTGAGAACTTCGATAGCGTGGAACGCTGTTTGGTCTTAGACCTGGATGCGAGGTATGACCTCATCCTTGGCATGGCAAGGCTGGAACGTCATGAGCCATGGATCGACTGGAAGTTGAACACGCGGGGTGCGTCGCACCCTGCTCCTAGTGGAGCTTTGGTGAGTCATGAACCCACCTCTGCTAGGAAGCAGAAGCGCTTTTGGCGCGAGCACGAGGCCGAGGCGGCCGTAGTGCTGGACATTGGCTCGTATTAACAGCGTTATTAGCACCTTGTTCCGTAGCAGACATAATAGGGGTTCCCATCGTAACCCCTTGTTCTGTAGCAACCATATTAGCGGTCGCCACCGTAGATTCTTCCTCTGTAGCAGTCACATTAGCGGTCGCCACCGTAGTATCTTCTTCTGTAGCAGCCGGATTAGTGGTTCCCTCCGTAGCTTCTTGGTCTATAGCAGCCGGATCAGCAATTCCCACTGTAGCTGCTTGCTCTGTAGCAGCCGGGTTAGTGGTTCCCACCGTAGCTTCTTGCTCTGTAGCAGCTGGATAAGCAATTCTTACCGTAGCTTCTTGTTCTGAAGCAGCCACATCAGCGGAGTCGGCACGAGTTTCTAGTTCAGGTGTTGGCGGCACAGGCTATCGTCGTCGAAAGGCAGCATACGCTGCTAGTTTCCCCATCGGGGGCTTCATTGCAGGCATCGAAACCAATTTGACAAGGTGGAGGTGGTGGTAGAGGTATCAAGCCTTCTTGTATTGCGTATAACCAAAGCGCCTTAGGCACTAAAACGTTTATAAATAGTCAGTAAACTATTTTGTACAATCGCAAACCGCCAAATATACCGATGAAATATTCAATATCGACTTTGGCCTGGCGTAGCTTGCCTTTAACTACCGGCTTGACGTATGTATGGTCTGAGCTGAGGCCTGAAGGGCGTCTTGCCCGCCACCCCGCCTTGATGAGAGAGCTCCACAAGCGCTTGAACTCCTTGGGTCCGTCATCTCGAAATGAGTGGCGTGAAAGGTGAGGCAGGACATGCGATAAAGGGCTTATGATAGGATTTCGAAACCTGTCACTCATTTATACAGCCTTTTCTATGGTTGCAGGAAAATGCCCGTCTATCTCCCCAACTCTAACCTTTCAGCATATTTAAACCTGCAATATTCCTTCTTCTGTAGAATACAGAATACCGCCTTTACTGGGTTAACCGCCCAAGCTAAGGATGTGATATTTTTAGAAGCTATAATACTGGTAGGCTCATCTAATTTGTTTTACGCCTCAGCTTAAAAACGTGAGTACAACTGGGAACGTAAGGTACGTGATCGCTATGGAATTCTTTTCAATAGGGTGTTTTTTGCTACGCTTTACAGTTTTGACGCAATTTTTTATTAAATTGGAATTTATTTGATGGAGCTGCACGAGCTCATTCTGTCGCGAGTGGGGCGTGATGGGCGTCAACGCAGCTGCAATAGCGTCTTGGAGGACGAAAATTTTAGCATTGCATCAAGAGCTGCTGCGACTATTGCCAAGGTGGTAGAAGTATACAATTTGAAGAAACAACTGCAACAGGTCAACGTTTTGACTGGAGGCAGTGAAATTTTAATGATAGAGATGGAAAATAC